AAAAAAAAAAAAAAAAGTGGTAAAGAAACAGAAGCTCAAGAGAAAACAGGCAAGGGACCCAGACAAAGAAGTCGTCATAAGGGAGCATAAGTTGGTAACACTAAATTAAACTTCACTAGTAACCAAAGATATGCTAAATAAGAAAATGGAATAGACTCTTAAACCTGTTTTTTTTGTTTGTTTGTTTGTTTTGTTTGTTTTTTTTTTGCAGGAAGGGGGAGAACAAGGGAATCTGTGGCTGTTATGTAGAACTGAATAGTATTGTAAAATAAAATAAAAAAAACTCTAAAAAAAAAGAAAAAGAAAAAGAAAATGGAATAGTATTTTGCCTACCAAATTAGTGAAGAGTTAAAGCTTCAATTGTGCTAAGGAATGAGTATTTCCAGGTATTGTTTACTGTAAACAAAATTTTTAACAAGAAATTCTGTGAACCACTTTCACAGAGATGTATTGAAAGAGAAAAAAGACATTCTCTATATTTGAAATACAAAAACTTCTATTTACAATGTTTAAAATTGTAAATTTCTATGAAATCAGTAAAAACACATGTTAAAAGCTAACATAACAGTAACTAGATAGTAAAAACACCAGGAGATATTTCTTTTTCCTTTTCTTCTTTATGAAAAAAAAGTCATTCTATAATGAACTTATATTTCTGTTAAAAGATGTGATACTAAGAATAAAACTTTCTAAGGTTTCAATTTTCCAAATTTTCTACAATGTTGTTTCTGATCCTGTATGTAGAAAGACCTTTCTTACATGACCCAAAGGAAGAAGAAAACTACACTGGAACACATGTAAACTCTTATGATGCCAGTTTTCTTCTGGTGGCCAATCATGAGTATGCAGTGTAACAAAGCAGGGAAATATTGTGGAAAGCTAGTAAGTGGCATTCTGGACACAACATTCTTTTTTTTTTTTTTATTTTACAGATTATAAGATTCTTAGAATTTAAACTACATGATAATACAATCTAGCAATGAGAGCCAACCTCATGTGAGCCTTAAATACCTGGTTCTATTGTCTCCTCACATAGAAAGGGCAGGATATAAAGTAGCACAGTTTTTATTCCACCAACATTTAAAAATTATATGTAAAAGCAGTGTGTTTTTTGAATGACAATGACCCCCATAGGCTCCTGTGTTTGAATGCTTAGTCCCCAGTTAGTGGAACTGTTTGGAAAGGGTTAGGAGGTGTGGTCTTGTTGGAGTAGGTGTGACCTTGTTGGAAAAGATGTCAGTGGGGATGAGCTTTTAGGCTTCAAAAGCCCTTGCCAGGTCCAGTCTCGCTCTCTCTGCCTGCTGGCTATGGATCAGGATGTAAGCTCTTAGCTACTTCTTCAAAACCATGCCTGCCTGCCTGCCACCACATTCTCTGCCATGATGATCATGGATTAACCCTCTGAAACTGTAAGAAAGACCCCAGTTAAACACTTCCTTTTATAAGTTGCTTTGGTCATGGTGTTTCATCACAGCAATACAACAGTAACTAAAACAAACAGCATCACAATTTTGAATTTCTTTTTTTTTTTTTTGGTTTTTCGAGACAGGGTTTCTCTGTGTAGCTTTGCGCCTTTCCTGGAGCTCACTTGGTAGCCCAGGCTGGCCTCGAACTCACAGAGATCCTCCTGGCTCTGCCTCCCAAGTGCTGGGATTAAAGGCGTGCGCCACCACCGCCCGGCGACAATTTTGAATTTCTATGAAGTAAGAAGAATGTATATTAGATGTCAACAGTAACTGTATCCCAGCCTGACCTCAAATTCATTTGTAGTCAAGGATGACCTTGGGCTTCTGGTCCTCCCACTTTCACCTCCTGAGTACTGGGACTAGGGGCAGCCAGCACCACACCTGGTTTTGTATGGTTATGGGGATCAAACTCAGGGATTCATGTCTACTTAACAAGCACCCTACTAACTGAGATACATCACCAGCCTCTTTCATTTGGTTTTCTTTTTTTTCAAAAAATAATGTTTTAATGTTTAAATTAAAATAATATTGGAAATGAAGACAGACTGAAATATATATTGGCTTACAGAGTGAAAAATAGAATTTCCCTAAAAAGTATCACAGTACTAAAAAGGTCTAAAAAAATGTATCACAGTCCACACATAATATTTAAGCACAGTAGTATGTAGTCCACTATAAACATGCCCCTGTTTTAAATTTTCTCATAGTTCTCAATCCTCATTTGTCTTCTTTAATTCAAATACTTACCCTTTGGTATGGAAGTTTTTCTAAGGTTTAAAACAAATCCATTATATTCCGATTCCTTTCTCTTTAATATCTAATACTTTATGTCTGAGAATTTCATCTAGAAATTACATGACATAATCTGATATGAAAGTTAAAAAACAGGAATTGCTGGTTGCAGAGTCTGCTTTTCTACAAAATGAAATGAGGGCTGTGCCTCAGAAGAAATGCATTCTTTTTCTTTGAGAAGAAGAGACTGAGAACAAGCATACCTGATTTTCTTGTTTGGCTTTGCTAAACTGTTCTTGAAGGCTGTCGTTTTCATGAGCCAAGATATCTCTTTCCCTGGCAATCTGAGCCAGTTCATCATTTGTTTCATCCAATTGCCGGCGCATTCTGGAAATATCTTGTTCACACATAATTAGGGCTTCAGTAGACTGTCTATTCCACAAATCAAATAGTACATAAGAAGAGAGATTTTACTGAAATAGAATAATAAATTCTCACAAGACAGAAGATGGACAGTTAGAATGAAAACAACTGAAGAGGCTTAAAACATTTAAATTTAAAGGAGCCACTGTGAAGGCCACATTTACAGTTTCACTATGAAAAGTGTACTAAACAAACACAAGTCAGTGATGTGCCTGTATCTCAAATTTTCTAACACTTAATAGGAAGGCTTTCATTAGACTTCTAGCTATTATGGCTGACTCTCCCCTGCAGAGTCTTCTTCCTCTGTGCCCTTAAAAGTTGTTTTTCAGAGTGCATACCCATACCCCACTCTTCTCCTTCTAGCCCTACTTTTCAGAGAAATCCCTGTCATGTCCATGACTCCTGTATGATTCTCAATTTTCAACTCAACAAGGATTTAAAATATAGGAGACACACACCCCTGTCTGTAGAGTGGCTCCAGAGAGGGTTAAGTGATTGGGTAAGACCCACGCTCAAAATGGGCAACGCCTTCCAACTGTCTTTCCAAGGGGTCAGTGATGTCACCTGGAGGAAGGTCAGCACACCCACTACCTGCCCTTCTGAGTGTGCGTCATGCCTCCCTCCGCTGCTGCTGCCACCCTTGTTTCTCTGCCCTGCCTTCCTTCCTGCCAATACAACCTGAACAGTGGTGCTCAACGGGGAGTTCCAGGCCCCCGGCACCAATCTGGTGAGGCATCCAGTTTCTTGGGGTGGGTAAGTACTAAGTTCTATGCCCTTCTGGTACATCGACTGCCACTGCTGGAATACCTAGCTCCTAGCATGTGAGGCTATTTTCCTTTAATATACATATATACATTCTATTGGTTACATCCTCTAGAGCAATGGTTCTTAGCTTTCCTAATGTTGTGATCCTTTAATACAGTTCCTCGTGTTGTGGTGACCCTCAAACATAGAATTATTATATTGTCATTTCATAAATGTAATTTTGCTACTGTTATGAATCATAATGTAAATATATGATATGCAGGATATCTGATATGAAACCCTTGTGTGGGTCATGACCCACAGGTTGAAAACCACTGCTCTAGAGAGCCCTGCCTAATAACAACTTTTTGGTACCAGGAGTGGTTATAAAGAAAAGAACTATAAGTATGAATTTCCATAATGGGTTTGGTGATAACTGGAGCTAGCTCTTACTATGTTGGATTACTTACATCAGGGAAAGAGCAGCACTTTGTCCTATTGGAAAAGATATTTATTTTGGTTATGGGTTTACTTTTCCCCACATATAATGTTTACAAAATGCCTTATCCTCTTTTGTGGTATTCTACACAGCAATACTTCTGACCAGGAAACTCATTTCACAGCCAAAGAAATACAATAGTTGGCTTATGTTCATGGAATACACTGGTCTTACCTTGTTCCCAACCATCCTGAAGCAGCTGGCTTGACAGAACAGTGAAACAGCCTTTTAAATATGGGGTTATAGCACCAAATGTGCGGCAATAGCCCAGAGGCCTAAGGGTAGGGTTTTCCAGAAGGCTATCAATGTTCTGGATTAGTGTCCATTATATGGTACTGCTGTGGGATGGTCTGTATATCAGATCTGTTGCTCTGATTGGTCAATAAATAAAACACTGATTGGCCAGTGGCCAGGCAGGAAGTATAGGTAGAACTAACAGAGAGGAGAATTGAGAGAACAGGAAGGTGGAAGGAGACACTGCCAGCCGCCGCCATGACAAGCAGCATGTGAAGATGGCGGTAAGCCACGAGCCACGTGGCAAGGTATAGATTTATGGAAATGGATTAATTTAAGCTATAAGAACAGTTAGCAAGAAGCCTGCCATGGCCATACAGTTTGTAAGCAATATAAGTCTCTGTGTTTACTTGGTTGGGTCTGAGTGGCTGTGGGACTGGCAGGTGACAGAGATTTGTGGTGACATAGATTTGTCCTGACTGTGGGCCAGGCAGAAAAACTCAAGCTACATGGTACTATTTTCCCTCTAGTCAGGATTCTTGTCCGAGAATTAAGAAATGGAAATCATCCCTACTGATCCACTAAAAGAATGTCTGCTTCCTATTCCCACAACCTTATGTTCTGTTGGCCTAACAAGCATTGGCTCCAGAGAGGGGAGAGTGTTTCAATCAGGGGGTACACAAGCCATTCCACAGATCTAAAAACTAAGGCAGCCCCTGGCCACTTTGGATTCCTCAGTCAAGAGGCTAAGAAAGGAGTTAAAGTATTAAGAATGGTTGACTCAGACTACCAGGGAGAAACTTACTAACACCCCACAATGAAGCAAAGTAACAGCATGTCTGATATGCAAATATTTTTGGCTATCTCTTAGTGTTTCAATTCCCTGTGATTAGGACCAATGGGAAACTGCAAATCAACCTAGGAAGGATGATAAAAATTCTAGACCCTTCAGGAGTGAAAGTGTGTGTCATGACCCCTATATAAAAAAACAGATTTACTGAGGGTTTTTTTTTTAAGGCAGAATGAGTAATACATTATCAGTTTTTAGCTTCAGACACATGACCAGTTATAGAAATCAGGACTGTAATTATCACACTTATTTCCTGGATGTCTTTTGGTGGTGGTGGTGGAGGTGGTGGTGGTGGGTACATATATATTAAACAGATCTCTGTTTTTCTTTCCTGCCTTATAGATTTAGCATGTAATACAACATTGAGTTGCTTTCAGAACATAAGTGCCATTATATCTATATTACCAAACTCAAATCATGAGTTATTTTAAAAAATAAGCATCCTTCAAGGGACTTTACCATTTTTCTGGAGGAAGAATTAATACATTTTCAGTTGGACATGGGATAGTTATTTCACATCACCTGGACTTATGACCTTGTTACAGTCTTCATTTAAAAATTAGGAAAGACATTAGATGTGATTGTATGTCAAGTTGGTAAGGGGTGGAGTTGTAACAGCTCATCTTATCAACTTGGTGACACTTAAACACCCTAGGAAATGTACCTCTGGGCATGTCTGTGGTGCTGTTTCCAGAGAAGCTTAACTGACTGGGGAAGACCCATCCTCAAAGTGGGCAGCACCCTCTAAATGGCTCTCCCAGGAAAAAAGTATTGTCTGGCCCCCTGAACTTCTTTCTAAATGTGGGCAGCTACAGCTGCTGCTGCTGTCATAGACTCCAACTTCTTTGGACATTCAATATAAAATGAACACCAGCAGCCTTTCCAAGAGCCTCCAACACTCAGCAGCCAGCTTTGTTGACTAGGCAGCTACTGAGTTCTCTGTCCCTGTAGCATGCAGATAGCCATTGAAGGAATATTTAGCCTCTATTTTGTTCTTTTCCTATAGAGAACTCTGTCATTCCCAGCACCATGTAAACCACAGAATAACTGTCTCCAGAATTAGTCCCCTAGTTAACATCTCAGACTCATGTTTCCTAGACACATCTACCAGGTCTCACAGGCTCTTGAAATTCAGAGGCAAAGTCGTCTTTTCCAGAACACTCCTCCTATCCTATGCAATGAGGATCTGGAACCCTGACATTTCCATAAAGCTCCTCATCATAAAGAATTCATTCCTTCTGTCCTCCTTATCTTTTCTAAAGCCCAATTTATTGCCTCTTCTTCCTGGATAAATCAACAAAAAATACCTTAAAACATTTAAAAATTGTAATAGTCTTTACTACCCAAAGGATGAAAATCAAGACTCATCTGTATATTGTACAGGCCTTTTCACATGTTTGGTTTCTCCCTCCTTCACTTCTTTTTCCCCCCAAGATTGATTTAGTTTCCTGTGTATGAGTGTTTTGCCTGTGTGTGTATGTAGCACATGCATGCCTGCTGCAGGTCAGAAGAGTATAGGATTGCCTGGGCCACCATATGGTGCTGGGAACTGAACTGGGTCCTCTGCAAGAGCAGAGTTGCTTCTAACAGCTGTGCCATTCCTTCAGTCCCTGAGAACAACAACACTCACCTACTCCTAGTTCAACAAGCTTTGGAACACAGACTATGGTTCTTTACTGTTAGTTCTGCTTTAGAAGCCCTTCCCCTAATTTCATTCGGTGAACCTAATCCTCTCCTTTACTCCCCAAGTCAACCTAAGCCTCTGCTGAACATCAGAGTTACTGATACATAACACAGGCCCCTTGATTTTCAGTCTCCTTGTATTACACATAAATAGTATTTTGCCTCCAGTAAGTGCTCAAGTATTTTCGAATGATTTACCTTGATGCCTGTTCCATCTCAGCAATGATATTCTTCATGCCTGAAATGGTCTTTTCCTTAAAATTAATACAAATATTAAGTTAAAATCATTTAAAAATCATTTCTACCAAAGCTGATGAATAAAAAGAAATTGTTCCCCTGTGATTTTCATTTGGTATTAAAAATTTATGTCATATTCTTCTCTATACTTTAAAGCCCATAATCAATGTGTACATTTGTGCTGGGTAAAGTTAATATATTTATTAAAGGAAACAATACTCTTTGGTGTAGATATGAGATCATGTAACTAATACAGTGTCAAAAAGTTTGTGTAATCATCCAGCTATATAAGGCTCCCATAACCACCATAGTTTGGCAATAAAATATTATATATAAATAGTACTAATTTACTTCCATATGTTCCTCATGTTATAAAACTTGGGAAAGTGAATATATAGCTAAATTTATTTCTTTTTTAATTATTCATTTTTTTGAGATTGTAATATAATACAATATAATTGTGTCCCTTTTCTCACTCCAAACTCTCCCATGGCTCTCTTTCAAATTCATGGACTCCTTTATTTATTGTCACATACATGTATGTATGTATGTATGTATATATGCACATATATTCCTAAACACATAAATACTAATTGCTAAGTCTATATAATGTTATGTGCACGTATGTTTTCACGGCGGACATTTGGTATTGGATAACCAATTGGTGTGCTCTTCCTTAGCCTCAACCTTACTTATAGAACTATAGGCAACTATAGTTTATTTCTTAGAAAAAACAACTGAGTATATTATTTGTATTAGCAATATTAACTTTAAACATCTGTCCCAATATATTTTAGAGCTGTTGTGAAAAAATAGAAACAGTAGAATCAGTCAAGACTGAAATGGATTTGAATATATTGCTTCCTCAGGCACCCATACATACTTGCACATACTCAAACACAAACACAGACACATACACATAAATAAAAATAAAAGTTTTAAAATAAAAGCTAAGATAACCAGGGAAAAAAATCACCTACTCACTCTAATACAGAGTCCTCCAGATGAGCTTATTTCTGTATCTCCATATTAATCTAAGGAGTGCCTTGCTTTCTACTTACCAGCATTTGTTAGTTAAGTTCTAAAATGTCACCACAGAAAACATTATCCTTTTGTTTGTTTGGGGGGTTTTTTGGAGACAGAATCCATGTATCTCTGACTAGCTTGAAACTTGCTATGTAGACCGGGCTGGCCTTAGGATTACTGAGCTCTTCCTGCCTCTCTAGGTTTACAGGCATGGGTCACCATGCTTGGCAACCACTTTTAGCCCTCTAAGGCTGCCTTACAAATTATCTCCCTTCAGATGATGGCCATTTCAGAAAACCTTCAATGTCGTCATTTGAAATGGACCTGCATCTCAGTTGTCCTTGTAAAGGAGACATGGTGCAGTTCACCAAGTAAGAGGTATCTGAAATAGTGCATACGGCACATAAAAAAATGAAATTCTGAAAGAGGCAAAATATTTCTAAATGTTAGTGTTTTAAAAGGAAATCATGCTTATTGTTTTGAATTATAAGGAAAATCAAAATCTTGACTAAAAATCATAAATTTTTAAAAAGATCCTTTTTCAGCAAACACACACACACACACACACACACACACACACACACACACACACACACACACATACAATTTTCTTCCATGACTTCAATTATGCTCAGGAATCCAAATCTAACTTCAATTTTCTCTTCAAACCTAAAATTCCAGAAGCCAATGAATATTACATTTACATATCCAAAGGATAACTCCAACTCAACAGGTGAATAATCACCCTTCCTAAGCATGTTCTGGTTTTTCGTGTTTCTTCCTCATGCACAGTAACTACTGATGAGGTCTCACTTCCTTAATAGACATTTTTCCCTCACAGCACTGCGGCATCTTCAGGAAGGTCTCACCACTTTACTTTTTACCAGTCTCTGTCCCTAGTCTCAGTTCCTTACAGTCCATCTTTCTTACAGATTTATAATTGCTAGAATATTCATTTTAAAATGAAGATCCAGTTGTAACCTCTGTAACAAAAGAGTCCACAATCAACATCAAATGTATCTTTGTGACTGGGTGTTTCTATACACAGCTCTTTGCAACCTATTCTCTGGCCATAAACTCTCTGGAATGGTCCTGAAATTCTCCCATGAGTCTGTGGACTCTAGTGTCAGTTGCTCTGCCTATCACGTTCCCACTGTCCTCTTCCCCTAAGTCTGGCTTATTCATAGTCATTTTTTAGGAAAACTAGGACATGCCACTCCCTGGAAGGCTTCCTAGATCTTCCTCCTCCCCTGGAAGAACTAACTCCAGGCTGAATCAGTTGTGCTTCTGATGTGTCCTTATGGTGCTTACCTGTCCTTTCAGAGGAGGATATTCCTCTATCCCTCTACGGCCTCATGCACCCTCAGTTTTTACTGTAACACTAGTGCATGTCAATAAATACTGGTTGAAAGACTGGATGGACAGATGGATATATAAATCAATTAGTTCCCTTAGAATAGAAAAAACCTTACTCCAATGATATAATTTTGATTAAAACATTGGTTAAAAAAAAAAAAAAAAAAAAAAACCAGACTAGCTTGCCTTCACAGTTTATCAGCTAAAGGGGACTTCTTTAAATCTGTCTTCCTTGTAAAATCTTTTGTTGTTGTTTAACAAGAAAAAAATACATGTGTGGCATTATCACCCAGCTTTATGAACAAGAAGCACACAGCCTTTTCCTAGAGACTGACAATGGCATAAAAACATGTGCCCTCAAAAATACCTTAAATAAGCTGGGCTTGCTGGTGCACACCTTTAATCCCAGCACTTGAGAGGCAGAGGCAAACAGGTCTCTAGGAGTTTGAAGCCAGTCTGGTCTACATACTGAGTTTCAGGCCAGCCAGGGCTACCCAGTGAGACCTGGCTCAAAAGACAGAAAAAGTGTGTTCCTAGTTAACAACCACAAAGGCAGTTTTAATGGAATGAGCATGTGACTTTCCAAGGTAATAGACTTAAAATGTTCAAAATTAAAAAAATTCTTACTACCTTATTTTGATTTAGTTATTATCAGTAAACCTGAATCACTAATTCATGATAGAAAAATAAGTTTTAAACATTAGCTAGATTTGCATGCATACTTCCTAAAATGTGGTTAAGACATTTCAACATCAGATTTAAAGTTTTTGGTTTTCTAGGAAAATCCTATTCCTTTATTCAGAGTCAAGGAACCCACAGTTTAATATTTAAACATTTCATTTAGGCATATCTTGTCTACTAGTTCTCAGAACATACTTTCATTGCCAAACTCTCTCCAAGTGATGCAATATTCTCAGACTTTTTATCCAAACATGCTTGCAGACATTCCTTTTCTTTAGCCAGATCATTGAGGGTTGCACCAAGAATGCTGATTTCTTCTCGCTGTGCAATACTTTGCCTCGTAAAATTATCTAAATAATCATAAAGGCATTGTTTTAATCAAGATAAAATCTTTTTTCCAGTTCATCAGACTGAAATATTTTCCAACTAGTTGTTTGTTACCCAATCACTTAAGAGTAACATAACCCAAATAAAAATATTTTGTTTGTGATTATAAATGATAGTGAACCACAAAGTTCTAAATGCCCATAAATGTAAAAGCACAATTTGAATTATAGCAAAAGAAAGTTCTATGTCAATATCTAATCAGACTGATCTATGTGGTAGGGAGCACAGAAAGGGAATGAATGAGACAGGTGGAATATCAAAACCACCAATGGATTTTCTCCATTAAATTCCTCTCCTATCTAGCCTAGCATGACTGTTGAATGTAAAGTTGACAATACATTTTAATAAAATATTCAATTAAATCAGCTTTAGAGTTAATTGTCTCCCAATTTTGATTTTTTATTTTTCTAAAATTCCTAAGTAGGAGAATCATTTATGGTATCCTATTTGTCGAAACTCTGACAAGCCAATGTCAGTACTGAAGGCATGAATAATTTCTTTCAAAGCAGGGGTTTTGTTTGTTTGTTTGTTTGTTTTGTTTTGTTTGTTTTTGTTTTTTCTCGGAGCTGAGGACCGAACCCAGGGCCTTGTGCTTGCTAGGCAAGCGTTCTACCACTGAGCTAAATCCTCAACCCCAAAAGCAGGATTTTTTAAACTGTGGTTTGTCACCCAACTCTGTCTGAACCACCTAGGAAACACCAACTTTTAGGCTTTCCACGGTCCTACTGAATCAAAATTTTTGATAATGGGCATAGCAACTTGTATTTTGACAAGCACACTGTGCCCCACACCCCACAGTGATAGAACTTTGGTCTAGAGGTAGATGCTCTAGGATCACAGAATTACCTGGCATAAACCTTCAACAAGTCTGGCTCCAATGAGCTTTGTTAGCTTCTAGGAGACTATGTCACATGCCAGAGTTTAAGAACCACTCTTCTCGTGCTCTGCAAGGAGAGCTCTGCAGACCAGACTTCTAGGATAATGCCTAGAGTTAATCCCTGTCAAGACCCATTCCAGTGCAGCGCTTAAGTGGTGATACCAGCCTATCACATCATACGGTACTTAACAATGTCATGGTCTTTCTCAGAGGCAGTAATGCCTCTCAGGCAACACACACGTTTTGGTGTTTTTATATCTGTGTATATTTCCACTGAAAACCAATCAATCCATTATCTAGCTATCATGGTGCTGTCAACCTAACAGAATCCAGTACCACTTAGGAGAAGGGTCTCTTGGCATGCCTATATGGGATTATCTTGATTACATTAATTGATGTGAGAGACATTTCTTAATTGGAGGTGGGAACATCCTCCAGGCAGTAGGTCCTAGGCTTATATAGAAGGTAGAGAAAGAAGCTGAGCACCATGCATGTGTCTGTTGCTTTCTTCTGTTGCAGACATAATGTGACCAGTTACTTTAAGCTCCTAGTCTTGACTTTCCTACCATTAGGAAGAACTGTACTTTGAACCATAAACTGAAATAAATCCTTCCTCCCTTAAGTTTTTTTTGACAGAGTACTTTAGCACAGCAACAAGAAAAGAAAGTACAAATATCTGCTTCTTTACAATTCTAATAAGTACAGTATTCTGTTTGTTTGGATTTTTTATTTTGTTCAGTTTTGGGACAGGGTCTCATGATATAGCCCTGACAGGCTTGGGACTTGCTATATAGCCCAGACTGGCCTGAAACTCATGTTCCTCCTACTTCAGTCTCCTAAGTGCTGGGATTTCAGGTATGGATTACCATGCTGGATTCTTGCTATCTTTTAATTGTTTGGGATTACAAAGAAAATCACTTGGATAAAATTTCCTATGTAAGTTGATGTGATCATATCTTCCTCTTCTTAGAAGTACCAGGTAAATTTTTCTTTTGGTTAGGCTTGTAGAAGAAGAACTTATTTCTAACATGTGAAATTCCTAGAAAAAATAGCCTTCTCCAGGGAAGAGCACACCAATTGGTTATCCAATACCAAATGTCTCAAGAGTCTAGCCCAACTCTTTATTTTGTAAATTCTCTAGTATGAGTTTATACTAATGAAAATATTAAAAATAAAACATATATAGGCATATGCATATATAAGTGCATGTATGTTCATATGCATAAGCATACGCACTCCCCAGCCCATCATAAAGGCTCAAATTGGTTTCACTTTCACAATGGCCATTACCACTGGTTGTCATCCCACAGTGCTGGCATCTCCAATACAAGTGGGTCTCCCTGCTTGCCTGGCCTTGCTTCAGGGATTCTGAATCTACCTCTTGGTACAAACGTGATAAATAAGTAAATAAATATATAATGTATATATAAAATACATACATATAATGTACCATATACAAAAATCTCGTGAGACATTTCTGTTCTTTCCCACTTCTACTTGACTTCTCATTCATTCCTAAACTCACTGCCCCATCCACAAATAATACTTCAAGCTTTTGAGGGTCACTGTTAGCCAAACTGCCAGTGTGCTACAGTTTATTGATAATTTTTAGCCCCATATTATTTTATTTTCCAATAATACCTGACAAGAGATTATACCCTTTCCTTAAAACACCTTTCTTTCCTGCCTTCCAAATAGATTAACTTCTGGGTTTTCTTCCTACTTCTTTGGTTTCTTCTTGCTGTCTTGAATTCTCTTCTCCTTATTCTCTGCCCCCCCCCCAGGTGACTTCATGGTTTTAAAATACCATTTATATATGGTATCTTATTATATTACCTTTCATATTTCTCTTTGAATATTTCCTGTCTCAATCAGTAGCAATTTCATCTACCTAGTTACTCATACTAACATTTACTGAACAATGGGGGGGGGTAAGTAATTTTTTATTTTTGAAATTATAATATAATTACATCATGCCCCCTTTTCCTTTCTTCCTCTCAACCCCTCCCATGTAGCTCTTTGCTCTGTTTCAAATTCATGGCTTCTTTTTCTTTAATTGTTGTTACATACATGCATGTGTATAAATATTTAAATACAACCGGCTCAGACCATATAGTGTTACTTGTATATATGTTTTCAGGGCTGTAGTACTGGATAACCAATTAGTGTGCTATTCTCTGGAAAAGACTATTTTTCCTGAGAATTACAAATACTAAAAAATTTCCTTATCTTTAGTCTTCCATAATCCTAACAAAAATTTGTCTGTTGCTTTGAAGAAGAATGAGATATGTTCACATCAACATAAATGGAAATTTTTTATCAAAGTGAACTTTTTTTTTTTTTTTTTGACTTTTTGAGACAGGGTTTCTCTGTGTAGCTTTGTGCCTTTCCTGGGACTCACTTGGTAGTCCAGGCTGGCCTCGAACTCACAGAGATCCGCCTGACTCTGCCTCCCGAGTGCTGGGATTAAAGGCGTGCGCCACCACCGCCCAGCCAAAGTGAACTTTTTTGTAAACTCAGACACTATTATAGATATAACTAAATGTGTGAATGTTTTCTACCCAAAGTGGAAATACATACACATTACAATTCCTTTCAATAACTCTGAGTAAGCTGCCATATTATATAAATAGTACCAGATTACAAGTAATTATAATAAAGAAAAGGGGGCTGCTGCTTTATCTCTTCACTGACAAATTCAAGTCGTAACTAAGTATTTGGGGTTCTAAATCTAAGCTTAAAAATGTTGCAGTCAAATAAAAATGCATTTCCCATTAATCATATTCATAAACTTAAGGCTAATGGCCTCTTCCTAAATTTATATATATTATAACTAAAGGAAAGAAAACTGTATTTTTCTACCAGACTTAAGGAAAATAAAAGGCAATAACAGAAAAAAACTTACCAATTTTTTCATCCAAGCACATAATTTTCTCCTGAGTAAGCTGTAGTTCATATTTTTTCTTAGCAAGGTGTCGCTGAGTATCAGAAAGATCTTTTTCTGTGTTTTCATATAAAAGTCTGAAAATATTTTAATAATAAAAACTAATTCTGGAATTTTTATGTTTTGTCAACTTTTAGTATATTTAAATCTAAAAGCTTTTAAGGACACTAATGTGTTTTCCCTTTTAATATTGCCATTATTCTAAAAACCGCACTGTAGAAAGTTTACAAAATAAGGAGTAGGGCTAGACAGACAGCTAGCTGAGTTGGGAAAATGCCTACAATGCACACATGAGGACCTGAGTTCAGATCCCCAGTACCCAAGTAAAAGGCTGGCCCAGAGCCCCGCGTGTGTTTTTTATCCCAGAACTGGGGCTGGAGAGGGCAGGGAAAGGCAGATTCCTGGAGCTCACTGGTCAGACAGCCTACCCAATCAGCGAACCCAAGATTCAGAAAGAGAAAGACTGGATCTCAAAATTGATGCAGAGCAACAGAACACTCCCAGTGTTGACCTTCACACATATTCATTCATTCATTCATTCATTCATTCATTCATTCATTCATTCATCCATCCATCCATTCTCTCCTCTCTCTCTCTCTCTCTCTCTCTCTCTCTCTCTCTCTCTCTCTCTCACTCACTCACTCACTCACTCACTCAGGCTTGTTTTATTGTGCAATGCACATTTTAGAATTATCATGCTTTAAAGTTAAACTGAATCGCATTTTACCAATACTTAATATTTAGTATCTTTAAATCTTATAATGCAGCTCTCTAGATCATGATTTTCTGGCTAAAAAATTATTACATGAGTAATAATCACTTACTTTTAAGCAGATACACCGATTCCTTGTTATTAGACTTTTAAGTTTATTCCAGTTTTCACTTTTACAATTAAATCTCTAGTGAACAGCATTTTCTTCACTCCACAAGCATTTATTGTTTGGTATGTATGAGCACTAGGTGCTGAGGAAGCAATGGTGAATTAAGTTGCACTGTTCATGCCCTCAGGAAGTTCACAGTCCACAAGTAAGTACACAGACTTCCATTTCTAGAAATACGACAGTCCTTTCACCAAAATCACACTTAGGCATACTGAACATAATGTGTGAAGTCACTATTTATTTATTTATTTATTTATTTATTTATTTATTTATTTATTTATTTTGTTTTTACAAGGCAGGGTTTCTCAGTGTAGTCTGGGCTGTATTAGAACTCACTCTTGTAGACCAGGCTGGCCTCAAACTAAGAGATCCACCTGCTTCTACCTCTCGAGTGTTGAGATAAAAGGTGTACACCACTATCACCTGGTAAAGCCACTTTAAATGTAAGACAAAATGTGCAATAATTTGTAAGGAATGTCTCCTAGTATATAATCAAAGCCTTGAGACTTACACTAGTCATGTTGTGTCTGTCTCAGTAGCTTAAAAAAGAAAAGGATGCCTCGTCTTTATCATGAAGAATAGACTAAAATAGCCCACCTAAGGCCACTGAGCCACTGTTGGAAGGTCAGCCTAGAGAAATTGTCAGTTGTTAAAAGGCTCATGGAATTCTTCCTTGTGGAATTCTTAGTATTATTAAAAGAAAATAAAAGTCAAAAGTTGATTCCAGGATGGACACATAAACGTGTGATACTGGCAAAACTTTTCTGGAGACAACACTCTCAACCCAGGCGAGAACTAAATCTCAGGAACAGTCCCTTTGAAAATGATCCCCCATTTCAAATCACAAATTATATTAAAAGCAATACTAATTTAATAAGAGGTTAAAAGTATAAAAACTAAATGAGATACCCCCAAATTTCCGAGTACAGCACTATTGAACAGAAGCTTTAAAACAGATATATTTAAATGCAGACATAAAATAAAACATAAAATCAAAAGAAAAACAACAGCTTTAAAAATATAATCACAAAATTAAATTAATATTATAATATTAATATTTAAAAACAACAAAACTCAATGTACAAGTTAAGATAAAACTAAAGAGAGAACTAGCAAAATGGAACAAACAGATCAGAAAAGAAATCATCTTTATCAAGAGCACAGATAAGGAGGTGGAAACCGAAAGAGGAAGCAGCATAAGATGGAAGTGAGAAGGTCTGTTATTTACCTAATCAAAATCAAAGGGTAAGAATAAAGGCAATACTCAAAGGAATGATGGCTAATCAAAGACGAAATCTTAGACTAAGGAAGCACTAATAGGCATCTACTATGGCAATTGTAAGTGGGTAAAAGTAAAAGAACTTCAAAGGATTGGAAGGAGGGACAGGGTAGATGAACTCAAACTAGTGAAGGACAATTATGAAATCCCACTGCAATGTGAGCTAATTAAGAATAACAACAGGGGCCATAGAGGTAGAGACACTTGTTGCTCTTGCATAGGACTCAAGTTCAGTTCACAGAATCCAGAAATGGTTCAAATGAATCCATAATTCCAGTTCCATTAATCTGATGCCTTCTTTTGAGTTCCATGGGAACCAGACACACATGTGGTATATATGCATACATGCAGCCAAAACACTCATAAACATAAAAGAATCTTAATTTTTTAAAAAGAATATCACAACAACAACAAAAAAAGAAACTTGAACAGAGGTATCCTGTATGAACAGACATGTTCCAGAAAACATAGGTTATTAAATGAAAAGTCTGTGTTAGGCATGGGATACCCAAAGACACCCAAAACAATACAGGCTATTGCCACCACTTTCAGTTGCCCACCATAACTAGGCAGTAAGACTCGACTGTTCAAGACACCAAGTACTTTGCAGGACACAGAGGAGTCAACTCGTCTCCCTGCTGGTTAACTTTCACAGTGCTGAAAGGACCTACACAGGCTTCTGGAGGAGAAATGACATCAATGGTCTTACCCAATCCTGGACTCTACATGCTACAAATGGGACCTACGAGGCAAGATGTACACAATGGCACAGTAGTGGCAAGGCTGTTTAGTGGGGTAACCAACTGTTGTCTCGATTGGATTTGAGATCTGCTTCACAGAAGGCAATTTCATGTTTGGAACTATAAACATAGTCAAAACCCATGGCTAGGAAAGTATTCTAAATGGTCATGTTGTCAAACTTCCTTCTAAATATTTGTTTGTATCCATAGATTTGCACTGTTCTCAACCTTGAGTAGAGAAACTTCTTACCACAGTAGGTAGTGGTTATGAAAAGACTCAATATCTGTTCAAAGTGCTGAAAATAAGTGACTTTGAGTGCTCAGGGAACATCATAAAGGAGAAGGCAAGAATGTATGAGTCAGAGGGTGAAGAGGAGTACTGAAAAATGCTATCCTCAGGATATAAGTGTTGAACACATGAACTCAACAACTAGGGTTACCTGCACAAGACCAAGCTAGTTAGAAATTCCAACATGGAGGTGAGAGGAACTCCCAAGGCCTTACTCCTAGCCAAAAATCTACTAGCAGATGCTTGCTGTTATGAGAGGGAGAGGCACTCTTTTTCAAAGGGTAGCCATGAGCAGGATGTCCATGCTCTCAGTGGATAACCCCATAGCCATGTGCAAATAGACAGCTCTTGGTTTAGTGGATATCTATACCTATACCTATACCTATACCTATACCTATACCTATACCTTTATCTATATATGTGGAGGACTTGAAACTTAAGGGAGATGTAATGAGGAGGGAACAGAAGAGTTAGCAGAAGGGAGTGGGGATTGGATAAGATTAATATGTATTATATACATCTATGAAATTTTCAAGAAAAAAAAGGATTCACAGGGAGCCAGATTTCTACACTTTATTCAAAGTATTAAATGTGACAAGTAATACCTAGAGAAATCACTGAAAATGATATACAAACAGTAAAAAAAAGCGTATACACACACCACACACACACACACACACACACACACACACACACACACACACACACACACACCAAAATGAAATTTTTAAGATGTCAAGTAACTTATTCAGAAGAAATGAAAACAGAGGGAAGAAATAAAAATAAGAGGTCGAACTATATCCATAATTACAGTAAATGTGTATGTTCTGCCTTTACTTTTATAGCACCAAACTGAAAGCAAACAAAATGTCCCTCCTAGCTTTCATGGTACCAGAAGGCATCAAGCAAGCTTCCAAAGGAGGGAAGCAACCAATAGTCCGACCCATCTATGATGCATATGAACCGCAACTACTATGGCACAATAATCCTAAGGGTCCAGGAGTGGCACACAGAATTTGGTGGTAACCATCAACTCTCTAATTGAACTTAAGACCCACTCAACAAGAGGGAGGCCATGTCTGGTGCTAGAAATCTGAATAACTACCAGTGCTAGTGAAGTCATGGTTATTGGAGGAGAATCTACAACCACTAATTTACTAAGTCAACATAATCACTAATAATCTATAAACATTTGTGATATTTTGCATTCACAAAATTTTGATCCACTGTATTTTTACATGTGTGCTAATTAAGACTTCATGTTTTCAAGAACATTCTCTCCATACTGTACTATCGTATCTCAGCTAAACTAACATTATTTGAGGCTTCCATATAATCTGAATGGAAACAAGTCCTTTCCATTCCATTCTTGTGTGTGCTAGAATTGTCGAGACTGTGTAGCTGTCCCACATGCTGTAGGTATGAGTCCTCTTATTCCAAGATAACTGAAGTCCTTGAGGCTTTCCTACACACATATGGTTTCTCTTCAATGTGAGCTTTTTTTGTGTGCATTTAAATAGTACTAGAATGATTGAAGGCTATCCCCACAGTGCTTATATGTATGTTTCTCTTCTTTGAGAATTCTTTTGTGTATCTGAAAGAAATAGAACACTGGAAGGTTTTCCTGCAGTTTTTGTTATTAATGGTGGGTTGGGTTTTTTGTTTGCTTGTTTTATTTTTGTTTTTTCATTCATGAAGTTTCTCTGCCATGTACATTCATGCATGTTTTTGATAGAAAATTGAATAACTGAAATTTCTCCCACTTACATGCTTACATGGAGGTTTCATTCCAGTGTGAGCACTTTCATGGAACTGAAGAGTACTTGAGTGGCTAAAGTCTTCCCTATATGGCTTATATTCATAAGGATTCTCCCCAGCATGGGCCCTT